TCTTTTATTTGATTTTGTAGTTATAATTGCATATTATCATTTTATGTAGAAAAATTTTGATATTTATTTAATTAGATTAATATTTTCGGTTTATACGTCACTTAATGCACTTATTTCTTTTTTTAATCTTTAATTTTCTAGTTATATCATGTTTATTTTATCTTATATATTATTCATATCAAAACCTGATGAATTTATTTTAGATTTGCTAATTTCTAATTAATTATTTGTAGAGTTTAATACAATCTGGCTTTGTTCTAAACTACATTCTAATTATTATATTTTTTATAGTAAAATTAAAGTTTCACTTTCTTATTATAATCTCAAATTATTTAAGTTTTATTAAAATTAACTATTTATTTATCTTATTTATTAATCATAAACCTGTTTAAAATTATTTTTATTTTTAAATTAATTATAAATTACAATTTAGTTATTTTTCATTTATTAATTTTCTATTTATAATAATTTTATAAATTGTTCTTTATCGGCTAATTATTTTTTATATTCTTAAACAACAAAATAATCTTTTTTTTATTTCCTTCACATTCATGAATATCTCTTATTATTTACTTTTATATTATAAAATATATGGTTTTATTAAAATATATAAAAACTTAATATTCTTTTTAAATATTTCCTTCTTTTAATTATTTAAATAAAATACGTGCATCATTACTTATATAAATAATTAAAAATGTATTTATATACATATATATATATATATATATTTATATATATATTATTTTTATATATTTAATATCATTATAATATTTTTTTTTTACTAGATTGATTCATTATTTTTATTTGCATTTATTAATTTACTTTCTTACTTTTATATTCCTTATTATAATTATTTTGTAATTAATTTTTATTATTACTTTTATTAAATTGTTTTATTTATTAATTTATCTAATTTTTTTCCGTCATCATCACTATCCATATTATGTTAATTAGATGAATCTAGTTTAATTATTAAACTATTATTTTGATAAACTTATAAAGGAGATATTGATCCTTTAATATTTTTATCATTTATTTTATTTATTAAAATTTAAATTACTTGGTGATACATCTTTACTTATAAATCTATTTCTTTTATTTTTAATAAAATATTCATTTTCTATACTTTTTTTAATATGTTAATATATAATTATTGGACTTATTTAAATATTTTTTTAAAAATATTGTTTGATTTATACTTATTTTTTTCTGGCTCCTAATCTTTTTATACAAGATCCAATTTATTAGATTAATATATTTTGATTTAATAAAATAACTTTGATTATTAATCAGGGCATTTCAATAAAAACTATTATTCTTTTTATTATATAATATTGTTTTTAGCATATAATGAGGCATCAAATTCAATATATCCAGCTAGTTTTTAAATATTTTTATATTTTATATGTACTTAAATCTAAACCTTAATATATAAATAAAAAATATAAATCAACATATATATATATTTTACTAATTTTTATTCAAATTCCTTTTTTTTATCATCACAATTTAATTTTATAGGAATACTTATAGTTTAGTTATTAAAAAAAGCTTGCTTATTTTAAAAAATTACAGGCTGTTTTAATTCTGCTTTGTTTGAGCCTTTTTTTACAATTTAAAAAAAGTTTAATTTGATTTTTTTTTATTACTAAAAAAAATTTTGTTTGTTTTAGTGAATCAATAAATTTTATATAAAATAAAATAATTATTAAACCTCGTTTCAAAAGTATTAATATTAAACAATCTTAAAAATTTAAATTCATTTCTAATTTTTCTAAGGTAATATCAATTTAATAATTTAATTCTTTTGGTAGTTTGGAAGAAAATTATTTCGACATATTTTTTGTTTTTTTTTATATAATGTTTTGAATTTTATATATTTAAAATAATTAATTAATATATAATATTAAATTATATTATTTTAATTTTTATAAATTTTCTAATAATTTTTTGAATTTTGGTTAAATTATATACAAATAAAATATATTCAAGCATTTATGTATTATGCAAAAAAATTAAGATTATATTAATATATATAATATTGTAAATATAGATTTTATTTCTATTTGTTGTTTTTTAAATAAATAAAAACATATAATTTAAAAAAAAAAATATAAAATATTGATTTAATTTTAAAAAATATAATAATTTTTTTAAAATTATGAAAAAATTATATATTTTTTATATATATAAAAATATATATGTATATATAGATAAATATAATTATATATTATATATATTTATATATATATATATATTAATTTATTTAAAAATATATTCATAATAATTTTATTTTAAAAAAATTAATTTTATAATTTATGAAGAATATAAATATATAAAATATCATTATTTAGATATATAAAATATTATAGATAATATTATAATTACAATAGCAAATGAAGGTTATATAAAAGTATCTTTTAAATATTTTAAAATAATTTTTTTAATATCTAAATTTTATTATTATATTTTTCTTTTATTTAATTATTAGTTTTTCTTAATATTTTATTAATTATAAACTTATTGTTATAATATAGGATTTTTATAAATATTTTCATTATTATTTTAAGTGATTGGTTTTTGCCCCTTTTCTTAAGGCTCATTTTTTTTAATAATTTATTAAATTATAAAAATATTCTTTATTGTTTTTAGTTACATTTTTTGCTGGGTTTACTTGTGCTGCTTTTTATATTAAATTTGGCGATATTATTTATTTCATCATTTCTATTTATTAATCATTCATATTTATGTTGTTTTTCATGTAAATACTTTTTAAATATTGACTGTCTAAATTTTTTATTTTGTTTGTTAAATCTGCCATTTATTCTTATGACTTTTCATTTATTTATGTGTTTTAATTAATGCTTTATATATATAATAGTTTTTTTTTTATACTAAATTTTTCAAATGATCTTAAGTAATATTTTCTTATTCTTTTTTTTTTAAAAAAAAAAATTAGTTTAGTTTAATTTTATTTTATTTATTACTATTTTCAAATGCAATCTTTTTTTCTTTGCTTTTATTGTCTTAAAGATTATTCTTTTATTTTTTACCTTTTTTTTAGAAATATTATACATAATGCGATCAATAAAATATTTAAAACTTTTTTCTTTTTATAAATTAGTATTTTAATTCATTTATTGTAATGGTTTATTTGATATTTATAAATTTTGATTTATTAAGTTTTGAGTTTCCATTTAAAAAAATATATTTAAATATATATATATATATATATATATATATATATATATATATATATATATATATATATAATTTTTAAATAATATCATTTATTTATAATAATATGTTATATTTTAAAAATATATTATTATTAATTAATAATAAATAAACGAAAATTAACTATATTTTAAATCTATAAATTTTATGCTATGCTATAATGTTTTTTTTTATTTTCTCTCTATAATATTTTTTTAAAAAACTTAATAAATTAAAAAAAAAAAAAATAAAGAAACAATACAAATATCTAATTTTTTTTTTGTTCAATTGAGTTTTTAAAAATAATTAAAGAAAAAAATATAAAAAAATTAGATAGACAAATAATTCATTTTTATAAAATAATTAAAAAAATGAATGTATTTATATTATTATCATTATTCATCATCTATATCACCTTAAGAATATTATTAATTTTATTCTTCAAACTATTCCTACTTATAATTATCATTATCATTATTATTTTCGTAATTATTATTATTAACATAGTTTTGTTCTTCAAAATTTTAATTATTATCTTATTATTAATCGTTATCATTGTCATTTTAGTTATCATTATTATTAAAATTGTTATCGGGGTTATCATTATCATTATTGTTATTATTATAGTTATTTTTATATTTAAATTTTTTGTCATTAAATCTTTTTTATTAATAGTATTATATATTATTCCTTGATTATTTATAGTTATTCTTATGCATTTATTTATTTTATTTGTAATTTCTTAGTTTCTATTTTTACGCATATTATTATTATTATATATATTGATAATATTTAGAGTCATTTCCAGAAAGTTATTATCCTTTTTTATCCTATTTTTATGTTTTTTTTTTATTTAAAAGACAAAAAAAAATTACTTTATTTGTAGCTACTCGAAAATATAAAGAAAATTCAATATTTTTTTCTTTATAAGGTATACCTTTTTTCCATTATTCTGATAAATTTTTGTCATCTTAATAGGTCAAAGATAGTTCTTTTTGAGCTTTTTTTAAATTGCTTTCATTAGGAAATACTATATTACATGAAGAATCGTTTATCCATTCTACTTTTTAAGGCTAATAGCTTTAAAAATATTTAAGTATTTATTCAGTGCTTAAAAAGTCAACTCCATATACATGTAACTATATTTTATTTTTTTAGTATTTATTTATTATATTTTTAATTACAGTGTCAACTCTTAATTCTAAATTTTCATCTTCTATATTAATATCTTGCCTTGAATTAAAATTATCTGTAAATATTAATATTTTTTTTTCTTTTTTTTATTTTTGTTACAGCCAGGTACTGGCTTTATTATTTATTTTCTCTTAAGATATTTTTCTTTTTGTATAGTTTTTTTTTTCTTTATTAAATCTTCTAATGTAAACTCATCATCATTTTTATTTTAAGTGTCTTCTTCTTCTTCTTCTTATTAAATCATTTTTTTTTTTTTTCAAGAATAAAGTTTTGAATATTAATTATATATATATATTTTATTTTGATAAAAAAGTATTAACTATTATTTAAAAAATAAACAAGATATAAAATAATACTACAATTTTTGTTTTTTATTAATTATTAAATAATTATATTAAGAAAAATATATTTTTATTATTTTTAATTCAAAAAATTTTTATTATTTTTAATTGAATTTTTTTATTTTATTTTATTTTAAAACATTTTAATTGATAAATAAATAAATATTAAAATTAATTTTTTTAATTTTTTTTTTTTTTTTTTTTTTTTGAAACTTAAATAAATAAAAAATAATAATAAAAAAAAATATGAATACAACATAATTAGTACCAACATATGATGATGTTCGTACAGGCAAAACATGGGTAGGAGGACCAACCTACGAAATACAAAAGTAGCATATTCCAGGATATTAAGGACATGTGAAAGCATTAGAAGCTGAAAGTTAACACGGCAAAACATTTGCAAAAATAACAGCTGAATGTATAAATAATAGATATAAAAGTGGTTTCATAATAGATTAAGAAGAATAATTTAAAACTAATTATAAATTAGAATTTTAAAAGCCAAATTTAAGAAATAATCCTGCTTTTTCATAATATAGTAATATTAATGAAAAATAAAAAATTGATGAAATTGAAAGACTTGAATTAATTAAAACATAGTATTTTATTTATTTAATTGTTTTTCTTTTTTATTTTTTTTTAAAATAAGACTTTTAGCTTAACCAAGAAGTATTGATGATGTTCCTCCTATTGATAGAGTACATGTTATTGGTTATTAAGGATTTAAACCAGTGTATAGATATCCAATTAAATAAATAAAGCCATAATCAGTAGAAGAAATTAATTAATAAGCATAAACTATTTTGGCTTTAACTAAAGGAGATTTAGTAATTTTAATTTTTATATATATTTTAATGATTTTTTTATTTTTATATTTATTTATTTGTTTCATATTTTTAAAATAAAAGAATCCACCAAAAGAAGTGCCTGTTGTAGGTTATTCAGGATTTTAAAAAAGTATTAAATCAGAAAATATGTTTGGAAAAACATTCAAGGAATTAAGCAATTTAAGCAATAAATAGTACTGAAACAAATAAAAAAAAGGATAAATTATATATTAATATATATATATAAAAAAATAAGGATATAATAAATATATATATTTATATTAATTTATAAATATAGATATTTATATATATATATATATATATATATATATATATATATACATATATGTATATATATATAATAATAAAAAGTAAATACCTAAATACTTTTTAAAATAAAAAAAAGAGAAAAATTAAATTAATTTTATTTTATTTCATAAAAAAATAAATATTTAATTAATATAACATTTATTTTTTAATTTTGAATTGTTTTATATATTACTATCTTCTTTCTTTTTAAATATAATAGTAACTAATCAAAATTGATATATATATTTTTTTTAGCATATTTTTTGCATTTATTTCTTTTTTATAATTAAAATTAAATGATTGTAATTATAATTAAAAATATATATTTATAAAATAATTATAAAATTACTATTTATATAATAATTTTTTTTTAATATTTATTTTATTTTTATAATTAAGAATAATCATTCAATATTTTCTTTTCAGTTTTCTTAACATATCATTTAAATTTTATTTATTGACTTTTAGGGACCTTTTAATAAAATTAAATAAATTATATTTATTAAAATAATGAAAACAATATATTAGTAAAAATAACATATATCTAGTAATTAAATAATATTTTGTATAATTAAATAATTTATAAGAATACATAAAACTATAAATATTAATTAAATTTTTATAATATTTATGATAAATACTGATAATATTTTTTTTTGATGAATGTATGACCAAAACATATTAATACGATTATTAAAAAATATTTTATTTTAATTTTTAAAATATATAATATAAAATATTTATTATTAATAATATAAAATATATAATTATTATCATATATATATATAAGTATTTAATTATTAACAATATTTATTTTTTATTATTATTTTTTTATATAAAATAAGAAAATACTAAATTCTTTTTGTATTTAAGTATATGAAACACAAAAAATATTAATTTAATTATATTAAAAGACAAAGAGTTACTTTATGTTATTATTAATATATATTAACACATTAAAAGTCTAAATTAATACAAAAAAATATATCTATTTATACTTAATAAATAAAAAAATATAAAATAAAATAATATTTATAAAATAAATAAATATGAATTTAAAATAATAAATACCTATATATTTTAATCTATACAAATAATATTAGAAATAATTTGAAGAATAAGTATTAAATGATATTTAAAACTTAGAATATTTATAAGAATATATAATAACAAGTTAATCGAATACAGACAATGATTTAAGATAAAACGCAGAATTAAAATTATCAATAATAAAAAATTAAGATATATTGACACATATATAAGAATTATTTCAATTAATAAAAATAAATAATAAAAACTTATAAATAAAATATTATATAATAGTTTATACTTAAATAGCAATTAAGAATATTTAAAAAGGAGAAATTTCAGATTAAAATATATTCATTTTATTGGCATAAATAATGTATTTATTATTCACTTAAAATTTTAAAACAAACTAAATAGAAATACTTACAGAATGTATCAATAATTTATTAGAAAAATCAATTTAGGAAGAAGTTATTTTTTTGAATATCTTAATAAATGATATTTCCTTATAATTAAATAATAATAATAATTATAATTATAATAATAATGAATAAAATAATAATGAAAAAAATATTTTAATTAGTTTATTTATTTTTGAAAATATTTTTGTAAGGCTTTTTAATTAATTTGAATAAAATTAATTAATTTTACTTTTTATATAAAATTTAGTATCGAAATTAAATAATATATAACATTTGCTTTAAAGTACACAAAATGTAGAATTTTAATTGATTATATTTGAAAAAATAAGCCATATTCTATGCATTTTTGTTTAAAGAATTTCAAATAATGATTTAGTTTTGATTCTAGATTAATTTTTATATTATAAATAAATACTTTTATTCGCATCAAATATAATTTTTTAAAATTTAAATTAAGAATAATCACTTGAAATCAATTTAGTGGTTTTTTAAGGAGATAATATTAATAATTTGAATGGAATTAAATATAATTTTTTAAAGTTTTTTTCTGTTTTGAATTAATATTATGTATTATAAGAAATAAATACTAAAAAAGAATTATAAGATATATTAATAGTTTAAAATAAATATTAGGTATTTCTTGAAATTTATGAAAACTTAGTAAAAAATATTTGCAATTAATAGAATATTATTCTAAGTCATAGTTAATTAAAATAAATTATAAATTAAAATGTAAAATATTTTTTTTAAAAAAAAATAAAAAATAAAATATATAATAAAATAATATTTTAATAAAATTTAGAAATAATTCTCTATAATAAGAATTTTAGATTTTTCCATTATATTTATAAAAGAAAGCTTGAAAAATGATAAAATGTATTCTTTATTATCTAATATATATCAAAGGTAATTTATATTTAAATATATATATATATATATATATATATATATATATTTGTAATTATACATACTTTTCTTTTTAATATATTGTTTAGTTAATTATTTAATATTATTTTTTAATTAATATGTAATAATTAAATTGATTATTATTGCTTTAATTAATAAGATGAAGAGTTTTTAAGGTTTGAATAGGATTTATATAAAAATAGATAATCCGATATATTAAAAAGTAATACATGTGAATTATTAGTTTAATTAGCTTAAAATTTAGATGGATCTTTGAATTTTTTTATTAATATAACTTGTGATATTATTGTGTTTGCAATATCAGGTTAAACACTAAATTAATAATTAAAATGTAGTAATAATGTTTTAATCTAGAATTTATCTAATGAAAATTTAATAGAAACATCATTATTAATATTGATATTATTATCTGAATAAGTATAATAAAGAAAAGATTTACTGTAAAGAAAATATATATATTAATAATTTTGTTTTATATAAATTTATTTTTTTGTTCAAAAAAAAAAAAAAGTTAATTCATAATAAATATTTTAAGTAATTATTTTTAAAAAAACATATCATAAATTTCGTAAATAAGCTAATTTAGATGTTGTTCATTAATAAGATTTTATTCTTAAGAATTTTTTACAGAATTTGATAATATTTCGAAAGTATATGTAGGAATAAACTATAATCTATTTTATTAAATGCTTTAATTTTTATTTGTTTAAATAAAAAACAAAAACAGTCCTTTAATTCAAGATATTTCTTTAGATACTTTATGGAAAATTTTCAATATGAAATAATTAGATGGATTATTAGAAACTTTAATCCTTGATTTTGTAGAAATTATAAACTAATTAATTATTGAATGTCAAAGTTAGGTTTTTTTTGAGTTTTTGGAAAAAATTATTAGGTCATATTGCTTTGTTATGTAGGAGTATTGTGTTAATATTATTGAAAAACTTAAATTAAGAATAGATATTGAATTTAAAAAAATTAATTATAAAACTTAGAAGTTTTAATCTAGTTTATTAATCAATAAATGTATTTAATGTATTATTGTATTTGTTTAAAATAAAGAAATTATGGAAATCTATTATTAGTATTTTGATTCTAATATTATTTCTGTATTATCTTATATGGATTAATTATGTAATATTTATTTTTTCGTCCGCTCCTCTTATTTTTTTTTTACTTTATTTATATAAAGAAAATATATAGTTCGAAGATACTTTAATAGAATTATTTATTGCAGTTTAATAAGTTATTTTTTATTTCTTTTTTTTAATCTTTTTTATTAAAATAATTAAAGTATTAAATTGAATATGATCAAAGTATGGAAATAATAGATAGAAATTTAAATAGTTTATTTGAAAAAAATTGTAAATCAATAAATGGAGTGTTTTTTGATTTATTAATTAAAATATTATAAACTGATTATTTAAAATTTGATAAGTATAATATCCTAATTCAAGTATTTGAATATATTTTAGAAAGCTTTAAATAGTTAAATCTAAGTAAATTAACTTACGAATATTGTGAATTTGCTAAAGTCTGTGTCTTATTTCATCTTGGTATATAATGGAATTATGATATTTTAGATTAAAATATAGAAATATATAATAAAATTATGGAGTTTTTGGTATAGAATTATTATGTTTTGAATAATTAAGGGTTTTATCCAGTTAAATTTATTTAGGTAATATTACTTTTGTTAAAGTTTATTCCTTAGAAAACCTTACAGACTTTAATTTAGAATAATCTGTTTGAAAATTTTATAAATAATTTAGATACTTAATATATTTAATATTACTCATAATAAGTTTATAATTAAAAAGTAATTTGCATTTCTTTATTTGAATTAATATTATAGTTAAAGTAAATTCATCCTATTTATATATCACCCTTATTTAAAGTAGTTTTAAAAGCATTAAGTTTTAATTAATTTAATAATAAAAATAAAGATTAAAATAATAAATAAATTTCTGAAAATTATTCAACTTTTTATAAATAGCCTGAAGTATTATTTAGTATTTTTTTTTTTTTTTTTTAAAAAAAAAAAATAATAAATAAATTCTTTTTTTTTTTTTAGAATGATTCAAATGAACTTTTACTTAGTTTAGAATCTTAAGTTTTTAAATTTGATGAATATTAAGAGTTTAGATCAATATGCTAAAATAACAATTTTATATAAGAAATTATGAAAAATATGAACTAAGAAGAACTTGAGATATATAATTAAATCTTAAATTATTAAATAATAGAAATAAAAGATAATTAATTTGAAATAAGGAAAATAAGAAAAATAAAAAAAATAAAAGAAAAATAATAAGATAAAATGGAAAATGAATAATGAAATATAATTTTTATTTTAAATATAATACAAATATATATATATATATATATATATATATATATATATATATATATATATATATATATATATGTATTTAAAAAAATATAAAATATTATATATTTTTAGATATATAATATTTATTTATTTTTAAAGAAAATATTTTTTAATTTATATAA